ATGCTTTACAAAGGGAATATAATATATGATGAAAGCCATGTTCATTGCAGTGTTAAGGACAGACTGCTTTGGAACATCCAGAAGCCCTGAGTCCTCTTGGAATGACCAGTGGTGAGGAAGGAAACTTCCTTCTCATCAGGACAAAGTAGAGAAATGGGAACACACAAGGAGAAAATATGTCTATAGCCCTTTAAGAACAGGGATGAAAATCCAGATCCTTTACAGAATGTTCTGGTATTTCTCAAATCCAATCCACTCTTTCCTTAACCCTGGTCACACATCAACATCACTGAAAAGTTTGTGAGGGAAATGCCAGTCTTGTTTTAAGTGATTAATAATCTCTAGCACTGGGCCCCAATCACAAACCTGGTGTTAATTCAAGTTCTTAATTCAGTTCTGTCACTCAGCTCTGTATTTGAACCCATGCTTGCAAAAATCTTCTATTCTCTACCATGGAGAGTCATGCCATTTTAGAGTAAAAGGAACCTTGTATTATTTGCATTTTACTAGTAAGGAAACAGGTCTAACCAGGTATTGAGGACACAGCTAAGACCAGAACTCTTTCCTTATGGCTGAACAAGAATGCCGCCCTGACAACTAGGACAGACACCAGCGATCAAAGAGCATTGTGCTGAGTGATCGGCATGGAAAGGCAGTCGGTGGAGTGGACAAACTAGGGACCTTTCTGCATGAAGTGAGATTGAGATCATTCAAGGATAACATGAGACACAAAATAATGTCTCTCAAGCTTTTGTGTGCTCAAGAATCAGCTAGGAGCTTATTAGAAAATATGCTCCTGGGTCCCTTCCTGGTATACTTGTTCTGGGGTTGGGATGGAGAAGGAGCACTTTTAAAAGCCATTCAGGAGATTCGGATGTAAGTGATTGGAGGACACTTCTGGGAATCACCAAACACTCTAAGGTAGAAGTTTGCTGTTGGCTTCCAGTAACGGTCTTTCTGCCACTGGAAAGCAAATCAAGCGTAGTTGGTTCATGGTAGTGTACCCACAGGACACAAGATAAAGGAGAATAACAGGCATGTGTGAATTAAAATTTAAAGATTTAAAGATTGGTAGTGGCCAAAAATGACCATGTGTATTTCTGTGTTCCACTGTAATCCTCTGGGGGAGGGGGGAAGAAAACTTTTCTGAAACTATAGTCTTTAAATGACTCAGCTCTGTAACACACAAGCAACAAATACAGTAATGTTGTTTCTTTATTATTTTTAAAATTGCCAAGAGGTTTAAATATAGATTTCCTCCTTTGACTCTTCCATAACCCTTTAAAGCGACCAGAGCAGGGGATACTACCTCTGCTTTACTGATGACTAAACACCCCTGTGTTCATCTAAATAGGGAGGAAACTAAAGCCTACATTTTCTAATATTGGGTACTGGAGCAGAATGATGTAGTTTAGACTGGAGCCAAGCAAACCTAGATGGATTCTTAGTTCCATTACTAGCAGTGTGACTTTGAACAATTTACTTACATTCTGAGTTTCAACTTTAACATCTCTGAAATGGAGATAATAGTACCCTTCTCATGAATTGTTGTGAAGATTAAATGAGATATTTTTTAAAAGATGTCTGGCACATAGCTTCTGAATAAGTGTACCATCTTGAGGATAAATTGAGAAAGCCAGCTATTTAAGTTGTTTATTTGAAATGATTATTTGGCATATGGAATACATATCAAAGTTGGGATTTGATTCCAATTAATGAGTAGAATATTGATGGAATTTTGATCTTGGGTTGCCTAGCAACCAAAATGAACTCAATACCATGAGCTACTAGAGTTGTTTTTAATGAAATCAGGAATTCAGCTGTTTTTAAGGAGCTCATGGTTGTAAGAAGACAAAAGGATTCCCCCAATTTGAAGTTATGCCAGATATTTTAAATAAATGACATCCCAAATTTTCAGTCTTTGTATCAAAAAACTATCTTGGATGTTGTGAGCCTTCCCACTTCTGTTCCCCTAGGTGACAGAAGATGTTAGAACACTCGATAAATTGGGTAAAAAGTGGGAACAGAGAAGATAGAGTGCTTGCACCTCGATAGCCAGCATATTCAAAATCAGCACTCACTGAGTGCCAGGAGTCAGAAATAAAATTAACATTTGTCTTTGCCCCTTAAGAATTATAGAATCGAAGAGAGGAAAATACAAATTATGAGTGGCCTTCTGTCTGTGTCCCTGGCAGTATTCTAAGCATTATGGACTGAGCAGACAAGCAGAAATAGCAGGTCCTAAATACCTACTGTTAGGATTATTACCTTCCTGCCAGAATATTGGATTCACAGGGATGAAGTGGAGTAGAGGGGACTTGTACTTCCACCCTCTTTGCAGCTTATGTGAAACAAGTGACTTCACCAATCTGCCTCCCTTTCCTTATTTGTAAGCTGAGTGTGATAATTTAAACTCTGCCTCCCTCCTGGCTATCTGCATGATACAAGAAGATAATAAATGTAAAAGTTCTGAACCAATAAATGCAATCTTTGGACAGGTCATCAGTTTGCCACCAAATTTACATCATATTTCACTGAGAATCCCTGTGCCTTTCTTTATATTTTCTTATTTCTTTATAACTGGGGGTTCTTACCATTTAGGAGGCAAAAGGGGGGAGCTTGTTAATGATTATGTTTATTTGCACTTAATTTTGTCTCCATGTGCATTTTTTTTTCCTCTGGCATGGACAATCAACACTGTTGCTTAAGAAATTCACTGTGCCACTTTGACATTTCAGCATTTATTTACCAAAAATATGACTTAAGGTCTACAGCCCCGCAAAGCAGGCAGCTGGTGGATGAATCATGTTCAACATTCATACAGTGCTGCTTGAGGCACATATCAGAGGAATATGCTCATCACCTGCCCCTGTCAGTTCTTCAACTTCTAATAAAGTACATCTGTTTTGGTGACTGAATAAAAACACCACGTGGAGAAAGGCTGGGTGTGGAGTAATTTAAGCAGGGCATGTCAGCGCGTTGAGACATACAATACCAAGGGTAGGAAGATGGTTTAGTAACAGCTTTTTGAAATAACAGTTGACTGGAAACCACCGGAAGTTCAGTTCCTCCAATCATCATAGTAAGCCACAGACCCGGAATATAGGGGCCCTAAAAAGTCCCCCAAGATTTCCATGCTTTCCCTTCTGAATCACCACATTTACATGACCTTTCTCTATTAGCATCATTTTAACATTTTGTGGAGGATTATAAATTTTTAAGGAAGTTCAAACCAAAGTTCAGTGCTCTCCTGGCAGCGCTTTTTAATATTGGCTTCAGTGGCTATGCCTGGTATCCTTAGGAATTGATTAATTTAAAAGATCCCAGTTCTAAAAGTGAAACAGCAGGGAGACTGACATTTGCAGTCTGGTATTTCTCAGTTCACACTACTTAGTATATTTTTACAATTTTTTTTGTTATGAATATCCAGTAGTATATAATTTTGTGTTTTGTTTAAAAAGGAGAAATTGAACATGCTCAGGGGGCGGGACTACCTCTAAGCTCACCATTTCACAGAGTGGTGGCAGGGTGGTGACTAGAAATATGCAGAGTGTTTAAGATGTATTTGAAAGCAAGTGAAAAGAATGATATGACTAACTATGGGTCTCTGTTTTATTTTCTCTCTCATGGCAGTACTTTTAAAATCATTACTTGCTGAGAAAAGAATTTATTAAAATGAAAAACCAGGAACTTCCATAACAGCCATTCCTTTATTCCCATTTCTAGTCTGTTGGAAACTACACTGTTCCCTTCTCTCTTCACCTTGTCCTTTTCACCCTGTGTGTAATTTTTTTTTTCTCCGAGATAAGATCAGTAATAGCTGATATTAACAGGCGTTCTAGAAATAATATATCTCAAAAATAAAAACACTAAATATAGCACCTAAGTTCAAGTCTTTTGAATGTTGTTATGCTGCTGATAGAACTATGGGGACTACACCTGAGGGAAGAAATCAAATATTGTGCAAAAATCAGCGTAAGAAAATGGTTACATGGCTATACACACACAAACACACACACAAACACACAATCGATTTAATGAATGCCTCACACTGAACCCATTTATTGCTTAGGAAACCTGGTGGTAAACGATAAATATCCTACAACACTGTCAACATGGTTAATTCTCTCCTGATTCAGATAATATATTAGCATTTTTACCATATGTCTGAAAGGGTAGAGCATATATGTGCAGAAGAACAAGTTGGTAACATTTTTAACCATCTGGTAAATTAATGTGCAAGTAGCAGGAATTTTAATATTGTTTATTTAGTTATATGGGTGTAACCTTTAGCATGAAATAGCCTCTAAATTAGAACTGAAGTTTTATTTCTCAATTTCAATCTAATTTACTAAACATTATCACAGTACCCTTAAAAGCAGACCCTTCACTATATTTTCTTATGCTTATTGATTTCTTTGGGCTCCTTAAAGTGCCTAATTTGCTACATCTTTCATGGGGGGGCCATGTAATGGACCCAACATACAGGCTCTAGGGCTGAAGTCTGCTCTGTCACCAATGACTGTGTGGTCTGGGAAAGTTAATTGGCCTCTCTGAGCCTCCTATTCTTTATCTGTAAAGACTGACTAACATTATCAAGCAGATCTCTCAAAGGGCCACTGGCGGATGCACCCAAACCACGCTTGTTCAGCACAGCGGCCCACAAGACCTGCCCTCAGGGATTCACTCAGTGTGTTTGGAAACAGCCTATGAATCTGCTAGTCAACAGACCCCAGGAGTTCAGCTGATTATAGCAATTAGCTTTCTTGAAAAGTATATAATTAGCTAATTCTAACAATACTAAATTTTCTGTAAATAATTTATTAATAAATATAACTAAAAATGAACTTTTAATATTATGGAAACTTACCATTTTGACAGCATTTGTACTAAAAATATTTTGACTTCACAGAAGAGATGTCAACTTGCATAAGTAATACTGTCAATTCATTAAATAGACCTCAGTTCCTCCTCTTTAAATAGATCCCTTTTTTCTCCCACAGGAAACTACAAAATATTTGTGGACAAGATCTAAATCAGGAGTTCAGTTGGACTTTAAAAAAATAACATAAGAGTCTTAGCTTTTCAAGGTCCTTATCCACCAAACCCTTAATCACAGGTGTTTGGACTTTCTCTGATTTTGTAAAGACTGAGCAAAACTGATGATGGAAAAGCAAAGGACCTAAAGGCTTTAGTATCATCTAATTTCGACTGAACACTGAATCAAATGATAAAACAGCCATGGAAAGAAATTCAAGTTTATGGAAGAACCTAATAGATGAACACCCAGTTTGTACCACCTGGAAGCAAGAGGCTGAAGGAGCCATTTATCATCTTGCCAGTATTTTATTTGTAGTAGGTTTCATGGGTGGCAGTGGATTCTTTGGGCTCCTCTATGTCTTCAGTTTGCTGGGGTTGGGTTTTCTCTGCTCTGCTGTCTGGGCTTGGGTGGATGTCTGCGCAGCTGACATATTTTCCTGGAATTTTATACTGTTTGTCATCTGCTTCATGCAGTTTGTTCATATTGCCTATCAAGTTCGCAGCATAACCTTTGCCCGAGAATTCCAGCTGTTGTACAGCTCCATTTTCCAGCCTCTGGGGACCTCTATGCCTGTCTTCAGAACCATTGCTTTGAGCTCTGAAGTGGTAACTTTGGAAAAGGAGCACTGTTATGCCATGCAAGGGAAAACCTCCATTGATAAACTCTCCCTGCTTGTTTCAGGAAGGTTTGTATTCTTGGTTCTTGCATGTCTTCCTTTCTGATTAGTTATTAGTTTGTTTCTACTACATTTTTCCATCTCAGGATAGCACAGTACTGGATAGAGCTAGTGCTCCAAGACTCAATAGTATCTTTGACATGAGTCACAGATGTAAGCATTTAGAATACATGCTATTATTTCCTTGATGTAGGAAATAACCCAGAGCCTTGGTATATCAAATGTATGAATTGATTGTTGAAGACAAGCTATTTGTTTTCAAGCTAATCACTGAAAGTCAAGAAGAGGATGATGCCAGCTTGAATTAATAAAATTAATAGAATTAACAGAAAACAAAGTAGTGCATGTAAAATCTAAATAGACGATGATAAGGCATTCTTTTTAAATAATGGAGAAGATTTAAATTTATGATCATTTTTTTCTATAAATTCTAGCCCACTTGCTAAGGAGAGGAGGGCACACTTCATTTATTCATTTATTTGTACACAGATATATAAACACACATATTGATATTTGAAAACAAAAGTTTGGGGGGAGAAAAACTAATATAGGTACTCATATTTTCTAAAAGGTTGCCATTTATAGAGAGATTTGTATATTTATAATGTCACTACTTTATGTTCTTCAGTGCTCTGCTTAATTTAAATTCTGATTAAGTGCAATGGAATTTTTGTTGAAATACAGACACATAAATGTACAGAGCTTGATGAATTTCACCTAATATTACAGAATCCTAGCTGTGTGAAGAACATCAGTGCATGAATCTTAGAGGAGATTTTGTCACTTATTATAATGTATGAATTTAATATTTTACCCTTCAAAATTTTAAGAGCCGAAAAGGTCATCAGAGATCTGAAATACTACTCCTTCCCACTGCCCACAGTTATGTTTGCTTTCTCCTTCCCTCATAAATGATGTTCCTTGTATTTGGGTAGGATGCGAGTGACAGTTGATGGAGAATTTCTGCATTACATTTTCCCCTTCCAGTTCCTGGATTCTCCTGAATGGGATTCATTGAGACCCACAGAGGAAGGCATTTTTCAGGTAAGAGATAACCAGCCCACACAGTGAATACTGCCTCTTCCAAACAGATAAACAATGTCAAAACCAAACAAAATAGGCAAGCAAAAAAACAGCACATGATGCAGGAATACTTTATTTTTAACTCTGTAGTATACTTTGCAGAACATATGACTTCCAAATTTCATTTGACGCTTACTGATTCATGTTATTTTGTAGGTCCAGCAACAAGAAGAATGGGCAATATATATGACAGAAAGGAGTCTATGATAAATATTCTTAAATTTCCCTTTGTTTAAATGCATAGAATATGGGAATTAAAACATTGTTCACTGAGATTTGACTGTCAGCTAAAATCTGCCACTATAACATGTAGAAAAAGCACCAAGAAGGAAAAATATGATCTTATACAAAATAAGTGATTAAAAAAATTTAAATGTTGATGGAGTTGTTTTCTAGCAAAATATAATGCTAAATTTGTTAATCTGTTGCTACATCTGGTGGGTTTGAAATATGATCACTACAGTAATTTTCTTGTGAATAAGTTTTTCTGTAATTTAGTACAAGTTAAATAAGTGTGTGGGTGTGTGTTAAAAATCATATACATATGAAAAACAGGTAAATAAATTCTATTTTGTACTACAGAAATTGAGTTAGGGTTAAAGGTCCACAGTCATCAAGATTGACTTAGAAGTACTTCTCCACATTAGCTAACTTCACTATTTTTTAATATTACTAGCTCTCACTTCAGGAAAATATAAAATATAGGCCCCTGACCTTAGACACAGATAAAGTGCAGATGGGTACAACATTCTGATTACTCATGTTATAAACTATATGTGTAATAATACATTTTGTATATTGGGGTCAGCAGGCTTTTTTCACCTAAAAAAGCAGCAAATCAAAGTGACTTAAAATTGGGGCAAGAAGATGTGACAGGCCTTTTCCTGCTTCCTAATCTTTGTTTACATGTGGTCTGAAGGTTTGTTTTGTTTTTTAGGTAACCCTCACAGCAGAAACCGACTGCCGATATGTGTCTTGGAGGAGAAAGAAATTATATTTACTCTTTGCTCAGCATCGTTACATCTCCCGCCTGTTTTCTGTTCTAATTGGCAGTGACATTGCAGATAAACTCTATGCCTTGAATGACAGGGTATACGTAGGGAAAAGATACCACTATGATATTCGGTTACCCAACTTTTACCAAATGTCAAGTCCAGAAATACCCAGATCTCCCCTCACTGAACATTTTCGGAACTCCCGGCGGTATTGTGACAAATGAATTTGATGTCTGAAGTTTTATAATTACAAAAGATGCTCATCATTCCCCGAATGAAAGCTAACGATAGAAAATTGAGCTCACTAATATTTTTATGAACCAAACTCATAAGCAAGGTGCCACTGCCAGCTGTCTCATTCATCTCAACTTCTGCATTATGAATAAATTTTATAGTTTTTCATGTATTTCTTATTGAACTAATGGGAGGAGGGTGAATAATTATGAGCAGTTTGCCATTTTTCTGAATCAGAACTATGAAAATGAAATTTTGCATTCTTAACTATTTTCTTAGATATATTCTAACCTGTTTCCTTGCCCTTTTGAGTTAAGCATTGTGTCTCAAGAAGCAGCCAACAGGTACCCTCCACACAAGAATAGGTTCTGATTGTACACATCATCACTTCCAGAATTTACTTTTTGTCAAGACCTCTGCTGAAAGCAAGATATGCTATTTTGATGGGCAGGAAATATCTATTTCAAATGTAAAACTGTTTCACATGCCTAGAAAGCAGAATAAATGTAAGAGATGATATGTTCCAATCTTGAAGACTTCTTTTACTACAACTAATTGATCAATTTAATTATACAATAATATTTAAAAAGAGGTAATCCGTGAAAAGCAAAGCTGCATCGCAGTGACCTAGTAAAAAGAGTACCTGTGAGCAAACACTAAACATACTGCACAGCATTTCAAGTTCACATGTTCAGCTGAAGGGCAAGAGTTGAGGGGTTTGACTGTGAGGGACACAGAGAAAGATCCACCCTGGACACAAACAGCTGACCCTGCATTACAGCCATTCTTTCAGCTTTGTAGAGAAAAACTTAGAAACAAGCGCAGTCACAGATCTGAGGTCCATCTTAGGGAGCTAGGTTTTCTGCAGATACTGTGCAGGCCATGCTCTGTGGTACAGAAACAAATCATACCCGCAATAAATGTGTATGGCACTGAGGAAACAGAAATCTCTTTCCTCATAGAGCTTACAGTCTGGTGAGGGAGACAGAAGACAAGTCATAAAAATCTAGAGTTAGAAAGAGAGAGTGCCAGGAGAAAGATAAATCAGGGAGGATAGATAAAGAAGGGCCCTGCGATTTTTAATAGGGTGGTCAAGGCCTGCATAAGAAAGCTACGTTTGAACAAAGATCTGACAATTACACAGATATCTTGGGAAAGAGCAAGTTCAGCAGAGGGAAGAACAAATGAGGAGACTTGTAGGCATGTGCAAGGCTGCCTGGCCCTGGAGCTAAATGGTCAGCCAGGCTAAACAGAATGAGCACTATAAGAGACAAAGGGGTAAGTTTGGGAAGATTAGGTGGAGCCTAATGAGTCATGATAAGAAGACTGAATTTTATTCTGAGTGACCAGAAGCCATTGGAGTTTTAAGTATAGTGATGATCTGCCTTATATTTTAATAGGATCACTTTGGCTAGCCTGCTGAGGATAGATAGAGGGGCTGTAGGCACAAATGTGGAGTTGGAAGGAAAGATCTGTGTTAAGTCTGGGATGCCTCTAGACACGGAAGTAGAGTAAATAGTTGAATGAGTCTAGCGTTCAAGAGAAAGGTCTGGGTTGGAGATAGAGATTTGGGAGTATTTTGCATAGGTGATACTTATTTTTTTAAGATTTATTTATACATACAAGAACTGTAGTACTGGCCAGAGGTGCAGGGCGTGAGAGAATTCACCAGAGACAGAGTGGGAAGCAGAACAGGCAGATCAAAATACACTGTTGAGGGGTACATTGGGTGAGACAGTAGAGGTCTGTTGTTCCTTGTGGGTCAGCTCCCTGGTGGGGGATTCAACTCATGCTGCAGTGGCTGCAGAGAGCTTGAGAGTGCTGAGGCTTAACCCCTTATGCCACCAGGCAGGCCCCACTTAGATGATTTTTAAAGCCATGAGGTCAAATGAGATGGCCAAAGGAATGAGTATAGCTTCAGAAGAATGGTTCAAGGCCACTCCATTGTTAAGATGATAGGGAGATGGGAAAGAATCACTAAGGACTGAGAAAGTAGGAAGTGAGGTAGGAAGAAATCAGAAGCCAAATGAAGAAAGTGCTTCAAGGAGACGAGCACAGTGAACGGTCCTAAATGTATCTGCAGCTCAGGTCATAGGAGCTCTGAGAATAGACCATTGGGTTGACCAGGAGAGAGGTCACTGACGAACTTGAGAGGAGCAGTTTTTATGGAATAATTGGACACTAAAACAAATAGCTAGTTGAAGTGAAATGAGAGGCAAGAAGTTGGAAAGGCATGTATAACTTTTCAAGGGTTTTTGATATGAAGGGAAATAAAAAGTAGCCTGAGTGGAAGTTTTTTTTTTTTTAACAAAAAACAAGGAAAATAACAACATATTTCAATGTGGTAGGAACTATCCAGAAGAGAAGCCAAATTGCTAGTGATGATTTTGAGCAAGGGAGTGATGATGGGATCCAGTGAACTAAAGCAGGCACATAGACAATAAATAGTAAATAAGAAGAGAAAGCAGAATACATACTGTGCACTTTCTGGCAAGTGAAAGATACAACGGGAGCTTGAAAGTTTTCTTATGAATGCTTCTATTTTGTTAATGACCTAGGAAGCAAAGTCAGCAAGGACAATGGGGGGGAAGAAGTACTGGAGTTATGTAAAGTACATTACTTTTTCTGTATGTTAACATCTGCTGGATGTGGGACAGTGTGACAAGGTCTGAATCATTAGTCTAGATGAGCTACTGTGCTATTCAAGTTTGGCATGAACAAAAGGAATAGTCAGTGAGTTTCTTCTGTCTCATACATGGTTGTCATGAACAGATGCAGTAGCAGCTCTCTGCCTGGTGTAAAGCCTATAGAATAGAAAGCACCCATTGGCTGGCTAGTGGGCTTCATAATGGGAGAAATTCTTTGAGTCTTTGAGGCATTAAGTATTAAATGCAGAGTACCCCAGATAGAAATCATACCTCAAATTAGTACCAGCTAATCGAATGAGTTTTCAGATAGTTATCTAACCATGAAAGCCAACTGAGAACAAAGTCACACAGATAAAGGGTGAAGAATTTTTGGCTCACATGATGTGGCAGAGAGTGCATTTATATGTAAGTTTTCCAGAAACCCAACCACCTTTAGAAAGAGGAGAAAAGAATACAAAGCTAACAGGGTAAAGGGATGCTGAAAGAGGGGTAAAGAGAAGCTGAGAAACCTTACCATCTCCACATTTTCATGAAGGTCTGGCAAGTTCCCTCCATATTAAAGGTATAACATTCTCCAGCACCTTGGCTTACCCAGCACTTAGGTGTTATCTTTTTCTTTAAAAAAAAAAAAAAAAA